CCGCCTGCCTCTGCTTCCCGAGTGCTGGGATTAAAGGTGTGCTCCACCACCGCCTGGCTTGTGTTAGTAATCTTAACACTTCCTTCTCACCAGAGAGTAGGCTTCTAAAATCATCACAGGGACCAGAAAAAAAAAAAAAAAAAAAAAGACCTTTAGAGGACTGGAAGAGCCCAGAGCAAGAGGCAGTCTTGTATGGTCTTTGGAGTTTGCCCCTCACCCAGTTTGCACAGATTGTTGAATATCGGTGTTTGTGACCTCGGGTGCAGATCCTCACCCAGTATCTGGTTGAGAGCCTCGCCAGTGGGAGGTGGAGAAGGAAGGTGTTATGTTCCATGGAACAAGCAAACACTCTGGGGTGGGATAATAAGAATTCAACGCTGACCTACAGACCATCCCCTGAAGCCCCAGACACACCTGCAAAAGCTGTAGTCAATTGCAGAGTCAGTTGAATTAATTTAGAGTAGTCAAAACCAGTAGGCCCTCGGTTCACCATCACGGGGCTCAAGGCTGTGAAAGCCAACTGTTCCAACAGTCCAAGGTTTCTGTTGGTATTGTCAGCCCTTCTCTCTTGCCACATCCTACTAGACAGTCTTTGTTCCAGCCACAGCCACTTACTCAACATTCTTCTTCATGGTCCTACTGTTCTTTAAAAACATTTTTAGAGATTTTATTTATTTTTATGTGTATAGGTGTTAGACTTGAATGTATGTCTGTGTTCCATGAGTGTGTGTGCTGCCTTCAGACTATAATTACAGATCACTGTGGGCTGCTGTGTGGGTGCTGGAAACCAAACCTGGGTCCTCTGGAAGAGCAGCCACACTGTTAACCACTGAGCTGAGCTGAGTTGGGCCATCTCTCCATCCCTGAGGTACTGGTTTTTTGTTTTGTTTTGGTTTGGTTTGGTTTGGTTTTGGTTTTTCGAGACAGGGTTTCTCTGTGGCTTTGGAGGTTGTCTTGAAACTAGCTCTTGTAGACCAGGCTGGTCTCGAACTCACAGAGATCCACCTGCCTCTGCCTCCCGAGTGCTGGGATTAAAGGCGTGCATCACCACCACCTGGCTCCAAGGTTCAGCATCTCTAACCATCAGCATTTTGGTACATTTTAGAATAACTGTTTGTAGCCAGGAGAAGTAGTGTTTTGCCTTTGTTAGAATCACTCCAGAGACTGAAGCAGAATTACAACACTTCAAGGTCAACTTGTGCTATACAGTGAATTACAGCCAAGGCAGCCTGGGCTATAGAGAGATACCCGGTCTCCTAAGAAGCAAAATAAACTAACTAACTAACTACAACTAAACAAATTTCTGATGTCTTCTCACCATCTCCTCGTAAGTCCTGTCTTAATAATGTCTAGTCTCAAGTCTGCAGCATCTGCCAGAGGTTTGCAACAGGGTTTATTCAAAGAAACAAACAGTGAACATCCCAGTGAATGATCTGGAAGTTCCCAAAACGTCACTGTGACCTACTGGAACAGGAAAGCACGCACACAGAGCCCCCAGACTCTCCTAAGTGGCCCTATGCTGTGATTTAACACTGTCTTGGTGCACTGTACCCCTGGCCTGCTATCCTCTGACTTCCCTTTTGCTAGACCCAGTCTTTCCTGATATCAGAAACTATGATGACTGGGAAGATGGTAGAGTCATCCATTGTTTGCCTTACAAACATGAAGACCTATGATGTAACCCCAGAACCCATGTAAAGCACATGTTTATGGTCCCAGAACTAGGGAGACCAAAATATGAGGATCCCTGGAATTCACTGGAAGCCCTACCTATGCATACTTATTGACTTCCAGGCCAATAAGAAACCCTGTCTCAAAACAAAAACAACCAAGAGGCCTGAAGAGGTGGCTCAATGGTTGAAAGCAGCGGTTGTTCTTGCAGAAGACCTGGTTCAGTTCCCAGCACCTACATGACGGTTCACAGCATCCGTAACTCCAGTTTAAGGGGATCCGATGCCCTCTTTGGTTGTCTGGGGACCAGGGATGCATCTGATAGATATATAAACTTTATTCATGCAGCCAAACTCTCATACACATAAGTAAGTAATTTTGTGCTTTTTTTTTTTTTTCAAGAATTTCTCTGTGTAGCCCTAGCTGTCCTGGAATTCACTCTGTAGACAAGGCTGGCTTCAAACTCAAGAGATCTTCCTGCCTTTGCCTCCCAAGTGCTGGGATTAAAGACATTTGTCACCACCATCCAGAATAAATTTTTTAAAAGGCATTTGGATCCTGATAAATGGTATCTGAGATTGTCCTCTTATTTACACACACACACACACACAGAGAGAGAGAGAGAGAGAGAGAGAGAGAGAGAGAGAGAGAGAATATGAATAAATCCAGGTCCTTTTGCAGGATGATTCAGTCCATAGCAAATATTCAGTACCTGCTGATTATTTTCATAGAAGGAGGAAAGAAAGCCCAAATAATCAG